GACGTTGCGTCGGAGATGGCATTCTCACCGGTGCCTTGCGACGCCGAGGACGTGAGCAGAGCAGCGGCCGAGTTGGATGGAGCGATCTGGGAGCCACTTGAGAGCCGCTGCGAGTTGGACGGCGGGGTTGGTTTGTTCGGCGCCGTTTTCGCCGCGGCCAATTTGGTCGACGACGTCATGGAGGACGTTTTCCTCGATGGAAACACTTCGATCGGCGTCACAGCGTGCAACTTGAAAAACTTGGGCACGAGCATGAGCGCCATCACCGTCACCTACGCCGACAATTGACACATCCACGGCTCTCTCGAGGTGGGTTACCGTGCACAGGAGAATCACGACCGCTTGGAGTGTAAATGTCGACACGGGGGACATGGTCGTGGCGTACGTAAGCGCGAGCATGACGCCGCCGCCGACAATGACCATGCACGACGACGCAAACATCCAAACCGACTCTTGGAAATCGCTGTCCGCCTTCCGGATGTGGAACGCCACGTACACGCCGCCCAGCGTGACGAGGCCCTTCCAAAAGATGGACAGCGTGGGGAAGATGAAGTTGCTCGACCGGCATTGCTGGATGTCGATGTCGCCGTGAAAGTCTGTCGATGGCACGGTCGTCGAGATCGGATGCGGAAAATCCACGACCAGCCAGACGGCGACAATTCCTGTCCATTGCCCCAATGTGACATCGCCGACGTGGCATGGTGTCGACCGTACCCATGTCGATCCCTAAGACCACGATAAACCATTGCAGCGCCCGCCACACTGTGATCACAACGCGCTTCATGGCCTTTTGATTGAACACAGCGTACACGCGGAGGGACTTGGCCAAGATCGATCCAAACACGGTCGTGTACCCAAGCGAAGCGACAAAGGGACGGCCACCGCAGACACCCGGCGATGGAGGGCCGCCAAAGAGGAACACGGTGGCACAGAGGCAGTACCCGCCGAGCAGCATGAGCACGAGGAGAGGCCACTGCGACCGCTTAATGATGGGACGTTCTCGAAACAACACGACCAGGGCTGTCAAGCCTGTCAATAGGACCATGACCACACTCGTCAACACCGCGATCCCGACGAACGCCTACACACCATCCGTATCGACATGGGGGCGCCTGGCGACAGTAGGCACATACCGACGACGTATACGGGACATACCCGCAGTCGAGGACGACATTGGCCGGGAGAGCGACGCCGCCAGTACACTCGCTGGACCGCGCGGGATTCGCCGCCTCGGGCAAATTCCACGCAAACGCGACTTCCCGCGTCGACGCCTCACTGCACGACGATATCGTGTACGCAAAGAAGGACGGGTCGCAATGGGGCGGGGCACTTGTCCACGCTGTCCATTCGTTTTCGTGCGTCGACAGCCATTCACACGACTTGCTCGTTTGAAATGCCCCTGGTAACGTCACGATGCCCCCGTCGCACTCGAATGGCAGGGTCGCGTTGGTCGGGTCTGGACGGGTCCACGCAAACGACACTCGCCGAAACGTGGTGTTGCAGCCCGTCATGGTATACGTCATGTGTCGGCGGATGTCGCAGAGAGGCAGCGTTTCGAGCCACGACGTCCACGTGTCGTAGTTGGATCGGACCCACTGACAGGCCGCGGCAAAGTTGGCCGGTTGCGTCGTCGCTGGGTCGGCTTGAAATGCCGCCATACTCGACAGCATGGTCGTCACGTCGAGCTGGGTCAGGACAAACTGGTTCAAGTAGTGCGCCAACAATTCGTCGCTCCGCAACAGGTTGGCATAGATCTTCATCAAGTTTTCTTGGGGATAGTCAACGTCGACGGGGTTCGTTGTCGGGTTGCCGTACCTAGAGAACAGCCATGGGATTGCATGCACGACAGGCATCGACGACGCACCCGAGCTCCCCGAACGTGCCAGTCGCCGTCGCAACGACTGCCGGGTCCGGCAGCGGCCACAGGATGCGCGCAAACTTGCCCGGGTTGTCCGTGTGAAACATGTCGGGCACGTAATGATAAAACACAATCGTGCCGTTGCGCTGCATGGTCTCGACAACGTACTCCTGGAGATTCGAGTCGCCGGCGGAGCAAAAGTAAGCAGGCACGTTGCGGTTGGACATGATCGCCTGGAGATACCCAGGGTCGTAGTCCCATCGCATGATGAGCACGAGCATGCACGATTTCCCTGGAGTCCGCGCGCTGTCAAAAATGTGGACAGAGATATGTGCCGTACCGCGGCCTTCATGCAGTGTGCACGCGTATGACTTAGAGCAACCGTCCAAACACCCCCCGACGCCATCGGGGCAATACTTGGCCTTGGCAATGCGCGACCGATTGTGTCGATCAATGGAAAAGTACTCGATCAGGTCGTCGCTTAACGTGAACTCTCGCCAAAAGTCGGCCGAGAACGGACGCGACAAGTTGCCTACGACTGCAGTCACGTGTGTGCTGCACGGCTCGCGACGCACCCAGAGTACTTTGGGGCCCTCGCAGCGCATCGTCGACGTTGGCTTGCAACGTGTACAGCCCGCTCCTGTTGGAATCACAAGATCAATCAGCGCGCCATGGGTCAGGAGCTGTACCTGCCCCAATACCCCACGTTGGCCATCGTCGATTCGTTCGCGTGGACTTTTAACGCTGCCATTTGGGACGATGTCCACACTTCCGGGTTCAAGTGCGTCGGTGTGCAAAGCCCCCGCCCCATCGTGGACATGCGTTCCGTCGCATAAGTTCCTGTCGCATGCACAAACGACACGTCGTACCCTAGCTGAAGCAAGGAGTGTACAACATGTCGAAGGACTCGAATGGGTCGTACCACTTCCTGGAGCAGGATCGCATTCACGTACGACGTGAGCTCGTGGGTTGGCCAGCCGCCCCACTCGGACACAAACGTGCCTGGAATCGTCCCCTGGTTCACGATCGTGCCCGTCGCAGCGTCCACGGTCGACCCAACACCGTATATCGTCTCCTTGTAGCCACACGCAGCCGTGTACACGGTCGGCGTCATTCGATGGTCGTGCACCTACACGCAGTCCCTGTCGTCAGCATCCCCACGCTCGGTGACGACGGAGCACCTGAAATCGCGCCGAAGGCACAGAAACACGGAGCCATGGGTAGAGGGAGCGATTTGTCGTCGGGTCGCGAGCGCGGGGGTCCACCTTGCGTACCGCCGCCTGGGATGTGACCCACGCAGCATTGAGACAAGTTCGGCGAACGGCATCGTGCTGGGAAGGCACGGTTGGCATGGATACAACCCGAATTGGACAGTGCAGTGCCACGATTTGAGTGCAAGTTACAACGGCTATTTCAGGTAAGGTAGCACTTCACTTGTTGCGACCCTGACATCCGCGGGTGCCAATTGCTACGACAACCCATAGTCGACACCACCATCGCAGCCTGGAGTTGCTGGAGATACGAGTTCATAAAGGCAATGCACCCACGCCTGGCGAGAAAACAATCGCTCTAGATGAGCTCCATCCCCCGACGATTGCGTGCTCTTGCATAAGAAGGAAAACCACTGACCTCGGCTGACTTTGACTCGAGCATGCCCTCGTGTAACCGATGTGAACCTGGAAAACCAAAAACGCGGACAGCACCATAGCCACGTGGACCGATGGGGGCAGCGCAGTTCAGAGAAGCGTCGCCGGCCCAAGTGGCCGATGCTGTGACGGGGCTAGGATCGGCGTATGCTGCGTATGCCCCGAGCATCGTGTCGAATGCTGTCGGCGGCGACGTCTTGTCCAGCTTGGACATCGAACAACTCCCGATGTTGTTTGCCACACTCGGTGTGACCAACACAATCCACCAAGCCAAGTTGAGGGTGATGCTCCAGCAAAATCGGCCGTCCTTGCTGCAGCGAACGCTCAGTCAAGCGCGGGCAATGGACATGGCGCTGAACCAGAGTGGTGTTGCAAAGACCTTTGATTGCTTCTTGAGCCACGACTGGGGCGTCGATGGGGCGACCCATGCCAAAGTTGGCCACGTGAATGCCTTTTTGAAAGCTCGGTACGCCATGTGCCGGCCAAACGTCGAATCGTATCGTTGGAAAATCGTAGGGGCATTCGAACGTGGTTCGACCAGGACCAGATGACAGGAAACATCCTGCAGGCCATGGCGACGGGCATTGAACGCTCCATCTTGGTGCTTGTTTTCGTCACACGCAGGTACATGGCAAAAGTCAACGGCTCAAACCCGAACGACAATTGCCAGCTCGAATTTGGAATGGCCAAGTGCACTCAAACGGCATCGCACATGGTGCCTGTCATCTTGGACCCGACCATGAAGAGCGTGGCGACGTGGGCCGGGCAGCTCAAGATGGTTTGTCCTCCACCTCCCATGCATCTCAACGATTCCACCAGGTGCTCGGCAATCTCTTGTACGTGGACTTGAGCGCCGACACAGCCGACGGATTTGAACAAGGCTGTGCGAGCCTTCTCCAACGAGTGCAAACTCTACTTGGTCGAACGCACGTGACGTCAAGCAAAGCGGGCGACACATATCCAGCGCAACTGGCGACGGAACAACTAGCTGACGTGGACGAAGTGGCTCCAACGCCAGTGCCGACCGACCGAGTCGCGGCCCCAGTCACGTCGATGTATTCATTTCCGTGGCTGCTTGCGTGGTCGGAAGCGATGGCTGGTACTGACAACGAGGAAGTCCAAGAAGACTCGCTGGTCGTTGTGCTGGAGCAATTGGATGCCACGCTGGCAAGTCCACAAGTGGACAGCTTCATTCAATCGTTTCCATACACCACTTTGATCACGGCGATGGAATCGCCTGCACTGGCAGAGGTCGCAACTCAAGTGTGCGCGATCTTGGTCGACCACCCACGAGCAGCGGCGTCGCTCGCAGCCCTTCCTTCTTTCGTGCCGACCTTGACTTCCCTCCTACAGGCAAACGCCTCGGCGACGGCGGATGCGGCCCTCGTCGCACTGACCAACATTACGTTCGCTCCCCCGCCAGATCGTGCTTTCACCGACGCTCTCGTCCCTCTCCTCATGCAACTTCCATCCCGCGATCATGTCGTGGACGTGCTAGTGAATGTATCTGCGGCAAATCGGTCGTCGTTTTTGCCGTACTTGGACCAATTGATCGCCATGTTGCCCTCCAACGACAAATTGTCTCCCATGTGGAAGATTTTTCTTAATTTGTCCGTGGACGCAGCGTGCACCGCTTCGCTCGCGGCTCTCGGGTTTGTCGACATTGTGTGGACAACCCAACTCCACACGCAAGACTGCGAGCTGACTTTGAAGCTTCTCCTGGGTCTCTGCCGCCATGGTGCAGGGTCCAGCGCTGTCGCCATGAGCTCCCACTGGCAGGTGTGGCTCCTCGAGACGGGGCGTCCGAGTCTAACTATCGCGAGTCATCTTGCTGACCAAGACTCCTCCGACTACTTAGCTCCACGTGCAAACGCGTGGACGTCGTTTTGGGTGGATGCGCTACTACAACATGACGATGACGAACGGAACGTCGAGTTGGCTCTGTGCAGCCTCGTTAACGTTGCGGCCAAGGACGAGATATGGCGACGTGAAATCGAGGTGCATGTCGAGCGCGCGGTCTGGCCGTGGATCATCCGTCGATCGAGATTGCAACCCATGGCGCTCAAGCTCGTCGGCAATCTCATCGACATGAAATTGGTGCGGGATCTCTTGACGGCGAAGCTTCAAGACGGCATGGCGATTGACGAAGGGGACGAATATGCACGAGATTTGTGGCATGAGATTGTGGCGACGCTAGCCTAATCTATACCTTAATCTATTGCATGGAGCAAAGTGTGTGCGCGGTGTGTGAACTGACGTGTGAAGACTTGACTGAACGATTGCTAGAATCCATGCGGGGTCTTTTCATCGACAGAGTACAGCGATCTCTCTCTCTTGCGTCCTCGACAACTCGACTGTGCCAAGATTCCCTGCGAAGTTCGCGTTGAGTGCTACGTAAGTGGGCCGCAGACCCCATTCGCTTGGCTTTTCACCGACCTTTTCAATCATACTGTCCAAGTATTCGACAGCCACGAGCTTCTCTCCTATATGAACGTTCTATCATTCATCTTTGTGTCAAACCTGCCGGGACTGCGGTTGCCCAGTCATTTGCGGTCGAATACCCCGGTATCGAATTGTACAATGTAGCGCCGGGAAGATGACCCCACGCACAGGGCAGGCACAAAATGAGCTCCGTGTAATAAGGGCTAAGGTCGTCCTTGTAGTCGTTGAGTAAAGAGGAGATCGCCAGGGCTGGCGACCGCCCCCTGCACGTGAAACATGGCGACGACTTGTTTCGGCTAGTCCACGTTGAACAACTCAACACGATCAGCTGTACGTATGATGTGAAGATCGTGGTCAAAATCGACGTCAGGTTTGGCTTCTTCTTGGCCTTGTGCAGAGGTATACGAATGAGCACCACGACCGCAATCACGTCCCCCACCAAAACCAATCTTGTTCAGCGTGAAGTTGGTAGCGCACGCACTGTTGCTGGTCCGAGTGTACCCATGGGCGCTGTAAACACACAGTGCATTCCCGACCTCGCACGTTGGGTTGCCAGGACAATAGATGTTCACACTGCCCTTCCCTTCAGTCTCAAGCACTGGATCGGTTGCCGTCAAGACAACCCGGTCAACTTCACCGACAACAAACAGCTCGTCGCTTACAGAGTACGTATCGGCAGCCGTTTCCCCCGTGCGTAAGCTGAGTACCTTCGATTTGTTTGGACCATCCAACCGAATCGTGGCGGTGTGGCTGGCGGTCGTGTACCTGCCGCAGCTCGTGCTCAGCTTGCCATTGTCGTATGGCGATTCTGCGTTCGGGTATATCCCCGTGGAATTTGGAAAGCGCCAGTACCCGGCAAGGGATAAGACAGCGTCCTCGCGGCTCCTTTTGGGCAAACGTGGCAATTTGTGTCGCTCGTGTTCCAGCTAAACTTGCCAAATGTACATCGAACGCACTGGGAATCGTCACGCTGGCGAGCGCTCGGAGCGACGCAGACGGCACAGTCGTAACAACGGACCGACCTAACCAAACGAGTCAAACGTTAACCTGACAGCAGATTTTGTACCAGGGATCTGCTGGACGGACGCGCCTTTGAAATTGCACACGCCTGCCACGGCAACGACCCAGACGCAAACGCCCCGGTTGTTGCGCTCTGCAGCGCGACCTCGACTGCATTGTCCGTTTTGACGATTTTCATGTACTGGACCTACCAAGGACGCAGAATTAGAGACGACGACAGTTTGTGTACGATAGAGTTGAGTTGTGCAGTTATCCGAGGAAGCGGTAAGAGCCGGCTGGCTGAGCGACCGAAATATAACGTAGACGTCGGATGCTCTCGTCATCGGGTTGTCGTTGTCTGGGGTGTATTGGCCAGTGTAATAGATCCACGTGAAGTTGCGAAGTGGGTCGGTCAAGAGCGAGTCCGTCGTCAAGTCCGTGGCGAACGGATCGAAAATGTCGTAGCTGGACCGACGTTACTCAGCGCCTTCGTGCTTGTATAGTTCCACGTCTCAGCCATGTCGTCGGGCCCCAGAAATGACGTTGTGTCGTGTGTGTGCATTCCATCCGCTTGGAATGGTCTCTGTCCGCTCCAGTTGACGAAAAGGACGTCGTTGTTGCTGCTTTGGTATTCAACGAAATGGACCACGCCGAACGTGATGACAGAGTAGGGCTCAAGAGATTTGATCTGCCAGCGACATTTCTGGGATGTTGTGTAGCCACAAGATATCGTCGCTCGGCCGCGAGGACCATTCGTGATTGAGGTAGATATCGAACACATTTGGCCAAGGACGACGGGGAGTCCCAGGCAGTAAAACCAAAGTAGCATAAGGGCCTCATTGCACCCCCATGCAATCCAACGTATTGGTTCAAAGCAAACGACGTCAGCAGTTTCTATCTGTGCGGGTTTGAATCGACCACGGTGCCTACGCCTGGTGCGGCCGTCTGGCCGATGAGGTTGACAAGCGCACGAGATCAATTCATCTTCCCAACGCGGCAATGCCGTTGGGCGCGATGGGACAACCCTCTCGACGAATCGTGGACAATGGACTTGGACAAACGCTACAAGCCCTGCATTTGTGGAGTTTAGGTTTGTTGTGGTTGGCGCTGCTCGACCAGGGTGGCAACGATCCATGCCGCACAAATTTCAAGGTCCTTGCTTCCTTATAGGCACATTTAACTGGAACTTTGCCGGTGGGAAGGCCCCACGCCTCGTAGCAAGATGCCGCTTGAGCACGTGGTTCACGTTGTCAAGGGCGTGGAGCTCTAAAATGGCGGTTCCGAGTGAAATGTCATGTTGGCACGGGTCGTGGGGTGTCGAAACTCGAGCGTTGTGGCATGGAGGCACAATCTTGCAGGCGGCGTTGACGCCGGTCGAGCGGCATACAGGGAATCCCCGACGATGGGGTGTCCCAGACTCTGCATATGTACCCGCAGTTGGTGCGTTCGTCCAGTTACGGGCGTGAGGTGGACTCTCGTGTCGCCATTGTCCAGATGCCGAACAACTTTGCATTGGGTTTCACATGGCTTTCCAGACACGTTGTCGACGATTTGTTTGACTCGGTGCGTCGGGTCGGCTGCCAACGGATGTGTCACAACGCAGGTCTCTGTCGACAAGTGGCCTTCTACCACCGCCGTGTACGTCTTGGACACGCTCTTTGCTCGAAATTGGGCATTCAGGTGTTGGGCTGATGGATACGTGAGTGCCGCCACCATGACACCGGACGTTTCCATGTCCAGGCGGTGGACCATTCGAACCTACCGCCACTGGAATGACCATCGATCTCGAAACCCATGGACAACATTACGTTGGGGTATTTGGACTGGAGGATTCGGTGAAGCGACGTATCGCGATCGCGCCCGTCGACAGAGGGCAGGTCGTGGGGCTTGACCACAACTATGACGGCGTTGTCCTCATGCAGGATTTGCAGCGGAAGGGTTACATCCAGTACATCCATTGTAAGTCGGGGCTCATGCCGCGTGTAAAAGACTAAGCGAGACGAGCTGTCCGTCTCATCCACGTGAGCAATCGTGTCGGGTGCGGTTGTGGCGTCGAGTGTCGCGGCAGCCAAGTGGGCTTTCACTTGGTCAAGCAGGAGGGAGGACGTGGCTTTGATGTCCGATAGGTCGAGGAGTTTAGAGTGATACAAGCGGAGAGGAATATCGCTCGAATACGCGGTCGTGTCCTGGAGTGCCAACCCCGGCGTTGAATGTGGCCGAACGCGAAATGTCAACGCGGTCAGGTCAACCGCACACTACGAGCACATCAATGGTAGTTGAGTCAGTCGAACAAGCACCACTTCTACCAAACCTTTTCCGATATGGCTTCCACAGCACACTGCACAGCATGTCGAACGACGTCCAGGCCACGTCGGTCGTCGCCATTCCCGTCTAGACGATGCCGCTTTCGTGCCATGGAGAGAGAAT